ATGGAGGAGAGGATTGCCTGAGCCCAGGGATTCAAGACCAGCCTGGGCACCTTGGCAAGACCTCATCTCTACAATGAATCAAAAATTAGCCGAGCGTGGTAGTGCGTGCGTGTAGTTCCAGCTACTTGGAAGACTGAGGCAGAAGGATTGCCAGAGCCTAGCAGGTCGAGACTGCAGTGGCTGTGAGCACGCTACTGCACTCCAGCTTGGGCGACAGTGTGAGACTTTTCTTTTTGTCAAAAAAAAAAAAAAAAAAAAAAATCAGAGGAGAGGGGATATCTTTCTGAACAGGTTTGTTTTGTGCAAATGCAGCAAGGTTTATGATCAGGACTGCCTTTATCTATAAGGCTGCTAACCGGTTACCCAGGCTTGCAGGGAAAAGAACCACCAGCTGCCAGTCTTTTGGTTATAAAACAAGAAGACCTGGACAAGGAGAACCCCTTTTCTGTGTTGGTTCCGCTGATGTCTTGCCCCTGAAGTCAGGAAGTGCCTTGCCAGTAATGGGCTGCCTTTTAAGTTCTTTTGATATTGGACAATGCCCCTGGCCACCAGAACCCTATGAGCTCAACGCAGAGAGTTTCCAAGTGGTCTACTCTCTCCCAAACACAACATCTCTAACTCAGCCTCTAGGTCCCCAGGGATCATAAGGTCCTTTAAAACTCTGGTACTCTATGGAAGGAACTGTCAAAGCTGTAGAGGAGAACATCGGGAAGAGGGAGAGAACATGAAAGCCTGGAAGGGTTACACCGCTGAAAATGCCATCATCGTTGTAGAAAAGCCATGAGAGCCATCAAGCCCAGAGCAACAAATTCCTGCTGGAGAAAACCGTCTGGATATTGTGAACGACTTCACAGGATTTGCAAACCAGCAGCTTTACAGCAGAGCCCATCGAGGAAATCATGAAAGAGGCTGTGGATATGGTGAAAAAGATGGTGTGAAGGGGTTCATAATGTGGATCTTGCAGAAATTCAGGAACTAATAGATCCTATACTAGAGGAGTTAACAGAAGATGGCTTGATGGAGATGATGCTTCCAAACCAGTGCCAGTCGATGAGCAAGAAAATGCAGAAGCAGCAGTGCCAGAAAACAAACTGACATTAGACCATCTGGCAGAAGGGTTCCGGTTATTCAAGACTGCTTTTGACTTCTTTTACGACGTGGACCCTTCTGTGATAAGAGCACTGAAACTAAAGCAAACAGTGGAAGAAGAAGGATTGATACGATATAGAAACACTTTGAGGGAAGTGAAAAAGCAAAAAGTCCGATAGAAACCACAGAATTTTCCTGTACACCGCGTGTGCCTTCCCTTCCGCCCTCTTCTACCTCTGCCACTCCTGAGACAACAGGACCAACCCCCACTTCCTCCTCCTCGGCATGAAGACAGTGAGGATGAAGACCTTTCTGATAATCCACTTCCACTTAATGAATAGTGAGAATACATTTTATCTTCTCTGTGATTCTCTTATGTTTTTTTATTTTGTAGAGACAGGATCTTGCTTTGTTGTCCAGATTGGTCTTGAACTCCTGGCCTCAAGGGTTCCTCCCAGCTTAGCCTCCCAAAGTGCTGGGATTACAGGTGTGAACCACTGCTCCAGGCCTGATTTTCTTTTTCTTTTTCTTTCTTTTTTTTTTTTTTTTTTTTTGAGTTGGAGTCTCACTGCATTGCCCTGGCTGGAGTGTAGTGGCATGCTCCCGGTCACCACAGCCTCACCCTACTGGGCTCCTGCGATCCTTCTGCCTCAGCCTTCCAAGTAGCTGGAACTACAGGGGTGCACTACCACACCCAGCTAATTTTTGATTTATTGTAGAGATGAGGTCTCACCAAGTTGCCCAGGCGGGTCTCGAACCCTCAGGTTCAGGCAATCCACTCGCCTCGGCCTCCCAAAGTATTAGGACTACAGACTGAGCCAATGAGCCCGGCCCTGATTTTCTTATTAGCCTTTTTTCTAGCTTACCTCTTTGTAAGAACACAGTAAATAACATATATAACCTATAAAATATGTGTTATTTGACTGGTTATGTAATCAGTAAGGTTTCTGGTCAATAGTATGCTATTAGTAGTTTTGGAGGGGTCAAAAGTTATGCATGAATCAGCTGCACAGGATTATAGCGGGTGTTGGTTGGTGCCCCAACCCCTACGTTGTTCAAATGTCAGTTGTGTTTATTTATTGACTAAAAATGCATGCAGGTAATACAAAAGGAAATCAGTGGTATAGAGTGAAAAGTAACACTCCTCCCTCCCCTTCTTCCAACTCCCATTTTGATACTGGGGTTATAACAGTGGTTCACATTCTCATGATTTGGTGGCCTAGTAGTAAATAAGAGAAATAAGTAAGTGCTAAGGAGAAGAATGAAGCAGAGGAAGGGCCTGAGGGTGATGGGGACAGGCGTGCAGTTCTCCTTCCCAGAGAAAATCACTATTAGCAGTTTCTTGAAAATTCTTCTGGAGATTATCTCTGTGTGATAGTTTGCTGTTGCTGTTATTTTTGCTTTTCAAATTGGGGTGTATTGCATACAATTCTAGATTTCTGATTTCTTTTGAAGAAACAGACAACCTGGTCTCCACCTTCTGACAAGACTCAGTTAGCGGCCAGAGCTGAGGCCCACTTGCCTCTTCAGAAGATGTTTCCAGTCAGCACCAGCTCCTCCCAGCCTCTCTCCTCTCTCCCTTAAGCAGCCCATCCCTATGGGCTTCCCAGTTTCCTCCTCCCTCTGTGGTCCATCCCCTGTACTGCCACCCTACAATGACGTCTTCAGGATTGTTCCTGTGCTTGAGAGCCACTGGGAAGGGGTACCTCTTGCCCCCCATCCCCTGCAACCTTCAGGTTCTGACTTTCTCAGAGACTGTAGACTCCCTTCACTGTTTTTCTCCGTGGGTCTGCTTCCTGCTTCCCTCGTGGTCTCTCTCTGCCAGTTCACTTTCTACCTCTGGGCACAAGTTAGGAAATGCTCCCTAGACACACACACACACACACATACACACACAGAGAGAGAGAGAGAGAGAGAGAAGGCATTCCATTTCCTTGCATGGGAAGCACCAACAGCTGTCAACCAAAATGGCCATGTTCAGCTCTAGATTCCCAAGGAAAGGAAAGTTCTGGGTCACCTTGAGCCAGGTGCTCAGCCCAGCACTCTAACTGCCCTGAACAAAATCAGTTCTGTTGGCAGGAGGAAAGGACCATGGCTGCTGGGCAGTCAACAGGTTTCATCACAGACGGTGACCCACTTTCCCCTTCCTCTCCAGCAGGACTTTCATCTTCTAGAAGTTCAAGGTAGCGACAGGGTCCCTGCTGGACAGAAGCATGAACGTCCTTCCCCAGAGCCCTGCCACTCAGGATGTGTTTAAACCTCAGATTAGGAAGAGGCATCTGTTTGCTCATTTGTATACTAAATAGTGAATGAGTGTCCTGGTCACTGTTCTAAGCACTGGGGATGCATCCATGAACAACATAGACATCCCTGCCACCCTGGAGCTGACATTGGAGCAGTGGAGACAGTCAGCAAACAGATAATGAACAAATGCTAAGAAAAATAGAAAGTAGAATGGGAGATTTAGGAGACAGAACTTCTCTGTCTCCCTAGAGTGGTTGGGAAGTCTTCATTGAAGTGTTGACATCATGGGAAGGAACTAGCCCAGTGGAGAACTGAGGAAGCGTATCCAAGTATGCTGGATGAGGCTTGATATGTCAGAAGAACAGAAAAGGACAGTGATCAGAGCTTAGGCAGGGATGGAGAGAGGCATCAGAGGAACTGTCAGGGGACAGATCCTGTGGGACCTGTGGACTGTGGAAGGAGTTTGGGTTTTGTTTTAATGCAGTAAAGCATCCCTGGGGAGATCTCAGCAAAGATATTGTAGGCTCTGCTTACCAGTTCATAGTATCTGTTAATTACATAGGTTTCTAGAAACATTCCGTCTGGGGCTTCCCTCCCTGAGATCCACTGGTGTTCTTTTTGACTCATATGCCATTTTCACACACTCTCTGGTGGAGCAGGTGGGTTGAGAGACAACAGAACAGCCTCCACGTGAAGCCACCAGTTCACAAAGGTCCCCAAGGTGGCCCATTCCATGAGGAGCATATTCGATGGCACCACAGGGATCCAAAAGGGGAGAACTCTATAGAACAGGTGGCCGCTTTCCTTCAAGAAGTAAATAGCATCAAAATAATTAAGAAGGTGGAAGGTGGCCTTTCTAGAATAGAGGGACTTAAGAAAGCTATCTACCTAAGCAGAGTATGGATCTTGTTTGGGTCCTGTAAGACACTGCGGGGTGGGGTGTAATGCTCGCAGGATGTGGTATGATATCTGAAAGTTCCTCTTATTTTTACATGGGCATGATAATGGTATCTTGGTTATTTTTTTGAAGACCTTATCTGCCAGAGATACAAGCTAAAGTATTTATGGATGAAGTGACCTGATGTCGAGGATTTACTCTAAAATATTTTGTCAAAAACAACAACAAAAAGATGTCGACTGAGTGAAACAGGAATGGAAATAGTGAAAGGTTGTTGGAGCTGGTGGGGTGGCTCACTGTAGTCTCCTCTCCTTTTGAGTCTGTTTGCAAATTTCCACGATAAAAAGTTTGGCTTTTTTAATGAGTAAAGCTGTTCAAAAGCAAATTACAGTTCTCATTTTCTGGAAGCATAACATGTTCATCACGTCTCACATTCTCCTTTTCTCCCCTTCCAGCATGGCGGGGAAGACACCCTTGCCGCCTGCCAGCCATTACGCACAACTGCTGCCTTCTCTGCCCTGCTGAGTCGCTCATTCTGGAGTCCCTGGGACAGCGCCCGCCTCCTCAGGTTGTCCTGGCTCAGCTGTGCACAGCGATGGTGGAGAACTGGACTCCACAAGCTCACAACCTTCCCGTTAGGTTTCAGGGGCCGGCATCCTTCATCCTGGGACTGGCGGCCCTGAACAATGGCTGAGGGCCAGGGGACCCCCTAGAGTTACACCACAGCTTACAGGGGCCAGTGCCAGCAGCACTCCAGTGCCCGTGGACTATGACCACCTATCGGCCCCTTCCCAGCGATGGTGTGGACCTGGCAGCCAGCTGTGGAGCCAGGGGGTCTGACGTCCTCCCTGGGCCACACACAGGAGACTATGCTCCCATGGGATTCTGGGCCCAGAATGGCAGTATGTCCCAGCCTCTTGGTGAGAGCCCGGCCACCGCCACCACCCGCCCCAGCCCCACCACCCCGGCAATGCCCAAGATGGGCGTGCGTGCCAGAGTGGCGGACTGGCCGCCCAAACGGGAGACCCTGAGAGAGCAAAGCAACCCAAGCCCCTCCCAGGACACAGATGGCACCAAGGTCCCCAAAGCGGCCCATTCCGTGAGGAGCATCCAGAATGGCCAGCCCCCCACCAGCACCCTGGCCTCGGGGTCCAAAGCCTTCCACCGACTCTCCAGAAGAAGGTCCAAAGACGTGGAATTCCAGGATGGGTGGCCGCGGTCCCCTGGCAGGGCCTTCCTGCCCCTGCGGCACCGCAGCAGCAGTGAGATTACCCTCAGTGAGTGTGATGTCGAGGACCCCGGGGAGCCCCGGGGGCCCAGGCACCCGGGAGCTTTGCCCCTGTTCCGTGAGTATGGGAGCACCTCCTCCATCGACGTGCAGGGTGTACCTGAGCAGAGCTTCTTTGACATTCTCAACGAGTTCCGCAGCGAGCAGCCTGAGGCCCGGGGCTCCCAGACCCTCACCGAGCTCCTCCAGGCAGATCCTGGCCCACACCTCATGGGGGGTGGCAGTGGAGCCAAGGGAGACCCCCGCAATGGGCAGCCCGCCAAGGACAATCTGCTACCACTGCAGCCCATGAAGGAGAAGGAGAAGACCCGGAAGAAACCCGTGCGGGGCCTTGGCAGTGGGGACACCGTGGACTCGTCCATCTTCCGGAAGCTGAGGAGCAGTAAAGCGGATGGCGAGGCTGGGCGGCCCCCCGGGGAGGCTGAAGAGGGCCGGAGCCCCCCAGAAGCCAGCAGGCCGTGGATCTGTCAGAAGAGCTTCGCCCACTTTGACGTGCAGAGCATGCTGTTTGACCTCAATGAGGCGGCTGCCAACAGGGTGTCCGTGGCCCAGCGACGGAACACCACCACGGGCGCCTCGGCCGCCTCGGCCATGGCCTCCCTCACGGCGTCCCGGACCCACGGCCTGGGGGGCCTGGACCCGGCCTTCGCCAGCACGGAGGATCTGAACTGCAAGGAGAACCTGGAGCAGGACCTCGGCGACGACAACAGCAACGATCTGCTGCTCAGCTGCCCGCACTTCCGCAACGAGATCGGGGGCGAGTGTGAGCGCGACGTGAGCTTCTCCCGGGCTTCGGTGGGCTCCCCGAGCGGGGGCGAGGGCCGCCTGGTGGAGCCAGCCCTGAGCGCTTACCGCACCAACGCCAGCATCTCGGTGCTGGAGGTGCCCAAGGAGCAGCAGAGGACGCAGAGTCGGCCCCGGCAGTACAGCATCGAGCACGTGGACCTGGGCGCCCGCTACTACCAGGACTACTTCGTGGGCAAAGGTGATGCTGGGTGGTTGGGCGGCTGCAGCTCGTCCCAAGAGGCCTGCTACTCATTCCTTCTCCCTCCCGCAGGCCCTGCTCTGGCAATGAGGGTGCAGTAGGAGTGGAGAGCTGCCTTCTAGAGGGCTGTGAGGCTGCAGGGAGCCGAGTGTCTGACACTCGCCAGCACCCCATACACCCTGATCTACGTGGGGCAACAGATGAGCACTTAGCTAATATGGGCTGGGTACCGCCATGTGCCAGATACTTTCTAGAACCTGGGGATATGGTACTGGCCAGCTAAAGACAAAAATTCTCTCTTCTTAGCATTTAATGTTTTAGTGGGTAAGACAAACAATAACACAAGAGAAATACGAAAAACACATAAGGCGTCGCCAGATGCTAAGTACTGGGAGAAGGGAGATGGAGTACTGGGCTGCAACTTCCAGTAGGTCATGGTCAGGAGGGCTTTGCAGTAGGTGCCCCTTGAGTCCTGAGCGGAAGAGGTTTGCGGGGGGAGCCGTGTGGAGAATGCAGATGGTGTTTCCAGCACAGAACAGCAAGTGTAGAACTCTGGGAACCTCGGAGCAACAGTCAGGAGGCCAGGGCCACTGGGGCAGAATGACAGAGGGAGAGTGTGGAAAGGAGCTGAGACGGGGGACGGGGGACAAGGGCAGCTGGAGTGGGATGCTGTGGGCCACAGTGAGGATGCTCGTTTGTGCCCTGTGTGAGATGGGTCTGCAGGAGAGCTCTGAGCGGGGTGGGGGCCCTGACCTGATGCCTGTGTTTATGCCTCCCTGATCATGGCTGCATGTGGGGAACAGACAGGGGGTGAGGCTGCCTCGGCAGTCCAGGCAGGAGATGCAGGCAAGTCTAAGATGGGAGCCCAGGGGTGGAGGGAACCTTGCAGGCAGGTTCGAGATCCATTCTGAAGGAGGAGCTGTTTGGAGGGTCTTCATATGTTAATACCAGGGAGAGATGGACTTCATGCATGTCAGGTGGGCACTCCCAGAAGGCCTTGCAGCACAGGGCAGAGCCCGCAAACCCAGGCAGCCACAAGGACAGACAGGAAGCTACAGAAGTGAAGTGTGCTGGAGGAACTAGGCAGTTCAACTCAGCCGCCTGTTGTCATGCAAGAAATGCAGACAACCCCAGTGTTGCCAGTCTTCCTGGTTGTTGAGGATTCTTCTGAGAATCGGCTTTTTTTCATGTGGAGTTTCCCAATTGTTCAATGCTGGTTGCTGTACCAATTCAGGATTGCTTATAACTGCTAATAACAGGCTTGAACAAACATAGAAGTGTGTCTCATGTAAAGAAATCTAGAGGTCAGCACCCTCAGCATGCTCCAACCCCCTCTCCACCCGGGCCAAGATTGCTGTTGGAGTTCCAGTCATCACATCCATCTTTCCAGGTAGGGAAAAAGAGGAAAAGGTAAGAGCAGATAAGCAGATTTCCTGTCAAGTCAGCCCCATTAGAGAGAGCTTTCTCAGACCCAGGTGCAGTGGCTCACGCCTGTAATCCCAGCACTTTGGGTGGCGGAGGTGAGAGGATTGCCTGAGCCCACGGGTTCGAGACCAGCCTTGGCAACGTGGTGAGACCTTATCTCTATAATAAATCAAAAATTAGCTGGGCATGGTTAGTCCATGCCTGTAGTTCCAGCCACTTGAAGGCTGAAGCAGAAGGATCACCTGAGCCCAGGAAGTCAATACCGGCGTGGCCTTGAGCATGCCACTGCACTCCAGCCTGGGCGACAGAGTGAGACTTCGATTCCAAAAAAAACTTTCTCAGAAGCCCCATCCAACCACTTCTGCTTATTGGCCATTCCTCTCTGCAAGAAGGCTGGGAAATGTAACTAAGTCTTTTTTCCCCAAAAGATAGAGAGTTTTTCTTAAAAAGGAAAATGCATAGTAGGTAGGCAGCTAGTACTTCACAGCAACCAGTTAAAACATTTTTTCAAAGCAGTGTCCCAGTCAAACATAACAAATGTCAATTAGGTCATCCCATAGGACTCAGTACAATCTCTGGAGTTCCAATATAGTCAGACAGCCCTGGGAATAGGTCATCTGTTCCATAGCTCATCAACTAGGTAACACACTTCACCCCTCAGACCGTCCTCAAATGACAAGATGACTGTAGTCACATCACATGCACCAAACAAAATGGCACAGAAATTGAAAATAAAGAGATGAAAAAAGTTCCAGACAGTGGCTTACCGGGAGAAACCTAGTAAGGCAACATCTCTATCCCACAAAATAGATGGAGAGGCCAAAAGCACTTTTTAGGGGAACTGAGAAGACCATTTCGTGTTGATTTTTAAAAATTGACCAAGAAGTCCTGGTAGCTGTGAACCTTTGTATACCCGGCCACCTGTTTTGTGATATATGGATAAAAATACTGATAAGGCAACAAAGTAAAGTGGACAAACCCACTACTATAGTAGGAGACACTGACAGATTCTCTCTCTGAAACTGACAGATCTTGTGGACAAAAAGCAAGGATATAGCGGATTAGAATAACCTAATAAAAGCTTGATTTTACATTTATATATATATTACTTTTGTACTGAGCCAGCAACACATGCTTTTCAACCCACACATAGAAATACTTACATGAAAGGAATGTGGATCAAATAAGGATCAAATAAGATAAAATACTTAGTTCTTTGTCAGGCAGGTAGGAAATACTCATCATGGAGCTTTTTTCTTTTTTTCTTTTTTTTTTAATGGTTTCTTTGCAGCTCTGGAAGCTGTTAAAAAAAATTGTTCAGTAACATTTGTTAAAGCACAGTAAGGAAGACTTCATTTAGGACCATCACCATAGGTATTGGGACCACTACAACATGGTGTGGCAGAAAGGGAGAGAGATTGGGCTCAACTGCATATACCCTGGGCACGTGAGAACGTATTGCCAAGGGGCCATGTGGGGATCAGTGGATGGAAAGTTATCAAGAGGAACCGTCAGGGTTCAAGGGGATTCTGACTGCACCAGCCCAGCAGGAGGCCAGGGTGATTAGGCATCACCTGGGGATGAGGAAGATGAGTAAGTGGCCTGATCAGATACTGAGGACATTTGGATATTGAGAATGGCGGGTCTTGCTAAACTGACTTAGCAGCGTTCTTTGTTAAAACTGGATTTTATAAGGAAGTGCACAGTTGGACCTAGGAGACGGTTCAGAAGCCTAACTAGAGTTTGGTCAGGCAAAGAATCTTAGTCAAGGTACATATAAATAAATCAGTCACTGGCCAATGTGCATTGAGTGCCTACTGTATGCTGGGCTTTGCCAGGTGCGAGGTATGCATTGGTGGAAAAAGAACTTCTGTAACTGCTTCTGGAATGAACTGCTGTCTGTGAAGTACAGTATCTATTCTGTTTTCTGACTAGTTGAAGAGGTTTTTTAACTTACTGGAGTTGCTGCTCTGATTGGGTCTGTTAATGAGCACACAGTATTTTGCCTTTGGTTTGCCAGGACTATCTCCTGAGAACAGGAACCATCAGTTATTCGAGCACACTGGGTGGGCACACTTGCAGCATTGTTTGAATTTCTGGCGATGAGCAGATGCTGGCTTTGTGGACACGAGACGGACTGCTGGGGGGATACCACCACCAGCATGAGATGCAGGGACTATACTTCAAGGATCACTGTTTGCCTGGAAGGTTCTAAGCATGTTGTTTTGTTTTTGTTTTGCTTTTGTTTTTTTTAAAGGGGAGGCAGCCGTCATTTAAAGGAGAGAGCAGGAGATCTGCTCCCTGACTTAATAAAGACCCTGTCACCCTAAGGGAAAAGGGGCAGTGTTTAAGTGACCTAGATCAAGAAACATCATGCCCTGGGCTGGTGATGGCCAGCACTCACCATGTGCTTACTGTGTTCCTGGCACAGTTGTGCTGAGGGGTGGACCCATCCTAAGCCCATGTTTCTCTTGAGAATGCTGACTTCGCTTGGGCCGTACACCTGAGGAATGGCAGAGCCCAGATTTGTGCCTGCAGGAGGCTCTCTAGACTCGAGTCTTTACCACTTCACAAGGGCACTTCTTCATGGACAGCTAAACTAGGTGAACCACTTGCACACGCAGGATTAATCACCAAAATGATGCTGGGTATATTACATGACGTACCGTACTAAGCATTTTCTATTTGTACCTTCATTTCACCCTCGCTTCAGCTCTCTAAAGTGTGGGCGGCGTCAAGGCCCCCTTTTCTCAGATGAGAGCACTGAGGCTCAGAAAAGTCCTGTGACTTGGCAGAGGCAGCCCCGTAAGGTGGGCTTTTACCTCTTACGGTTTCTCCACTGAGTGTGGCTGTGACCAGGCCTGAGGTTTGTGTGACCAGCATTCCACGGGCCCCACTAGAGCCTGCCTGTCACCTCACCAGCAGGCCTGCTGTGGTACTGGACTGTCTCTCCCAGACAACTGACCCTGAACTCACCTGCTCTTCCTTCTCAGAACATGCCAATTACTTTGGTGTGGATGAGAAGCTGGGGCCAGTGGCTGTGAGCATCAAGCGGGAAAAGCTGGAAGACCACAAGGACCATGGACCTCAGTACCAGTACAGGATCATCTTCCGGACCCGAGAGGTAGGCCTCATCACTGTCGTCGTTACATAAGTAATAGCCACTCACCTCTCATAGCCCTTGTCTAAGTCAGGTTCCGGGGGGGCAAGTGCTTCCCCTACTCTGCCTCCCGTAATCCTCCCAGCACCGCAGGAGAGCCATCCTGTTAGTCTCCCCACTTTGCAGAGGAGGAAATGAAGACTCAGAGATATTGAATGACTTGAATAGCAGCCAGGCCAGGATTTGAATCCAGTGTTTGTGACTTCATAGCCCAAGATTGTAAAATCTATTTGCAAGAGATTAGCTCTAGTTAGCATAAGAAATAAAGGGGGAGGTAAGGGATCACTTCAGGATAATGAAGCGTCCTGCATAATAGAAGAATTAAGGCAAAGCATCTGGCAAGGCAGGAATTGAAGAGTCTTAACCTCAAGCAATGCTGTTATGCTGATCTGCAGCTAGTACTCCCAATGTGTCACTTTCCATTCTGAGTAGAGAAATCCCATTGTCCTGGCTAGAGGTCTTGCCCTGGATTAAATGTCAGCTGTGGCTAGGGGAAAAGGCCTGTTGGGGCACCCGTGCTTTATTAGGACTCTAAATTGTTAGTGACAGAAATCTATTGCTAACTTGCTTAAGCCAGAAATAGAATTCATTGGTTCGTGTATCTGCAAATCCAGGGATAGGGCAAGCTTCAGGCATGGCTAGACCCAGATGCAAATGAAGTCACAGATCTCTGCTTCTTTATTTCTCAGCTCTGACTCTGGCTGCTTTCTGCATTTTGAATGTCATTCTATTCTGCTACCATCGGGCTCTTTCCAGGTTATGGGAAGATGGAGACTGGCCACTCAAAAAAAAAATTTTTTTTTTAAGAGATGAGCTCTCGCTATGTTGCCCAGGCTGGTCTCAAACCCCTGGCCTCAAGCGATCCTCCCACCTCAGCCTTCTAACATACTGGGACTATAGGCATGAACCAGGCCTGGCCTGGCTGCTCAAATCTAATGTGTCTTTATACCCTCTCTTCCAGAAGGAGCAGACTTTTGTTTATTTGCTGAATCTCTGAGGACTCTGGCTCTGATTGGATCACAAACTCACACCCTGGGCTAGTCACTCTGCTCAGGGGTGATAGAGGAACTGGGCACATCTAGGACATGTGCTCCACCCTGGGTCCAGGGGCAAGGCTTATAGGACTGTGGTGGAGTTCTGTGATTAACAGTTCTGTCAGAACCACCTGGAGGAGGAGGCAGGGCAAGTCCCCAGCAGAAAAGGGGAACCAGGCAAACAAAAATGAAAGGGACTTCCAAAAGACTCAACAAAGGAAGACCTTTCCAGAAGAGGGACACTCATCAGCTAGACAGGCCCTTCCACACAGGTTTCCCTCAGCCCTGCATTGCCCTGGCTGGCCCTGTGGGCCTGGCTTTTGCCCAGGCCTGAAAACACAGTAAGATGCTGCTGCCGGTTACTTTGGGGTTGGGACCAGCCAAGTCCTGGACCTCATCCAGGCTAGCAGATGCTGCCTCGAGGGCCCTCGCTCCATCCCCTGACCAAGACCTTCCCACTGAGGGGGAATGGGAGGACATGGAGGCTTCGTGGCAGCCAAGGAGAGACGTCCCCAAAACCATATGCCCCAGACCACAGGTGGTCACCAGCCTCTGTCTCCCAGCCCCTCCTCTCTCTGCTCATCTTTCTGGCCAGACAAGCATCAGAACAGAATATGAGGTGACAGCTCACACTGCATCCGACTGCATCAGGGCGTTTGGGCAATTGCTGGTGGAGTCATGGACTAATAAATAGACCTATTACAATCGCTGTTTTCACTGCATTGTACTATGGCCTTTACGTATATTAACTCGTTTATATTTCATCATAATTCTGTGAAGGCACTGTTGTCCTTATTTATATATGACAAAAAAGGCACAGAGAGGTTAAGGGACTTGCCCAAGCCTCCTGGCACTGAGTGGGAGGGCAGGGTGTCTGCCAGCGCTCCGGACAAGGCACTTGGCTACTCTGGGATTCAGCTAACTCAGCTGAGACTCACATTGGGCCCAATCATGAGTTAGGAGCTCAGTCAACTCAGTGCCAGCATTTTTGTTTTTGTTTGTAATGAAAGTAGAATCAAGCTGGGCTCGGTGGCTCAGCCTGTAATCCCGCGCTTTGGGAGGCCGAGGTGAGTGGATTGCCTGAGCCCGCGGGTTCGAGACCCGCCTGG